TGAGAATCGTTCACGGGACTCGTGATCCGGCATCCGGATGAAGTGACGAAGTTCTGAGAATAACATCTTCCCAGTGATCGAATACAGCTCGTTCTCTATTTTTTTTTGTTTTTTTTGTCTACGATTTTCATAAATCATAAGACAAAAGTGCGTTTGGTGTTAAGTGTGCTTGTGTGTTTCGTAAGATTTGTAAGATAATTTTGTTCTCCTTGGGAATCGATCTTTTGCCTCGATTCATGACTGATTTAGTTTGAACTGCGTTGGTCGTCGGAACCGTAAAGATCGCCGTGCGGTCGAAAAACGGAACAGCGGAGTGAGTTGAGCAACTTAAATAACGAGCGACAGTGGAATCTTAGTGGTTTTAGCGAATCAGAGCGGAAAATCCCACACCTTGGACGGAATTGGCCGGGAGCCTTGGACTCGGCAAAGTTAACGAAGAAGTTAAAGGAAGAGTTAACACCGACCATCGAGTGCGATCGTGTCCTTACTGGGATTAGCGATTCATCATCCCTCCAAGAGAGAAGAAGAGCAAAGCAAATTAGCCGCTATCGCGACGAGTAAAAGTAAAGAGAAAGCGCTGTCGCAATTTTATGACAGATATCTTTAGCATGGGTCGTCTCTATCTTTAAATCAGCTAACTCCTCTGATTACATTACAGCCCGAGCTGTCATCTCGGAAGATCGTATCTCTCGGTTCTCTTTGCCCAGCAAGCCTCTATCCAAATCAAATCTTTTCCCAATAGTTGAAGTAGAGCCGCAGAAGGTAGACGAGTGGTTGTTCGATAGGAAACACGACGATCAAGGCGCTGATGATGTCGAAGAGAAATTGAATTAAACTACGCGCGATTTCGCACCGTCGATAATCGAGTCCGTGATGAGTTCGCGCGAGGGTGAACACGTGGACGATCGGTGTGCTTCGACGGCTGCTTCGGGTGATCGAGTACAGTGACCGGCACGTGACGTCACACGTTTTTTATCGACAACGAAGACCGCGTGAGATGATGACCCTCGTGACGGACACGGTACCCTACGCCTACGAAGCGGTCACGAGGTCAGCCTACGACGGTTACCGTCACCATTTGCACCACCATCATTATCATCATCATCCTCATCACTCTCATCGGTATCGGCGCGTCTACACGCCGACCGAGCCTGAGTATCTGCAAGGATACGTCACTAGGAGGGATACGGACGACCGCGCGAGAATTATCGGCGCTAACAACGCTTTGGCGTCGGCCGGCTCGTTGAATTATCGCAATGACCGAATCAGGTGAGTTTTCATCCAGATTACATTTTTAGTACCGTTCAACGAGCTCAAAACTAGGACATCGTAACCCTAACTATAATGAAATGGTATGAGAAAACTTTACAAAAAGTTTGGCTTCAAATCTTTTAATTTAACATTATCAATGATAATGTATTATTGTACATATATTTTATAGAAATACATTTGTATATATATATATATATATATATATATATATATATATTATA